CATGTTTGCAGAAAGTTACACAACCGTATTTTTTTTGTGCTCAAGCCTGCGCTGGCTATAGCCTCGCGAGCTTGGCATACTACTGATATTTGAAGCTTTTAGATTTTGTTAACACAGAGACATATATATATATATATATATGTAATGTATACATATCGAGGCTACATCTTCAGACATCCATCCCCATTTGGCCTTACCCCCCAACCCAATCCAGCAACCCGTGCCACACCTCCAGCCGGCCCCTGGCCGACCCGAGGCTGCAGGCAGTTTTGGCGCGGCTGCTAGAGCCACAGGCAAGGGAGCTGACTGAGTGCTGGAGCCACAAGAAAAAACCCGCATACGGCCAAGTGGAGCAACAGAACCACACGCGAGGAATGGGTTCTGGAAGAACTTTTTCGACCTTTTCCGTATCGATGGCCAAGCCTGGAGGTATTGCTGCTTGTCACATTTTGGAAAAACCGTTGCCGAGCAAGGTGTTTCGCGTCAGAGTCAGAGCGCTTCTGGCTTTGTGGCTTTGGCTGCGATGTAGTATTAGATTATCCTGCAAACTCCTTCGAAGGAGAAGATAACCCGGCCATCCAGCTCACACAATCCACCAAGCAAAGCATGATTGACTAATGAGCATCTTCAGCGGCGTAAGGCCGCGGCGACCGCAACCCGTTCAGTATTGCAGGATGAGCTGGAGGTGCACGCCGAAACGGCTGCCGCCACCAGCATCACCAACATCATTAGCATCACCAGCATCACTAGCAGCAACAGCGGGATCACCAGCATCACTAGCACTAGCATCGCGCCAGCATCGCACCAGCATCGCACCAGCATCGCACCAGCATCGCACCAGCATCGCACCAGCATCGCACCACAGCATCGCACCAGCATCGCACCACAGCATCGCACCAGCATCGCACCAGCATCGCACCAGCATCACTAGCATCACGTGCATCAGGTGCATCACGTGCATCAGGTGCATCATGTACATCACATGCATCACGTGCATCACGTGCATCACGTGCATCACGTGACATGCATTACATGCATCACATGCATCACATGCATCGCATGCAACATGCATCACATGCATCATTTGCATCATTTGCATCATCTGCATCACATGCAGCACATGCATCATCTGCATCACTGCCATCACTGCCATCACTGGCATATGGCAGCAGCACCAGCATCACCAGCACCAGCATCACCAGCATCACCAGCAGCACCAGCACCAGCAGCAGCAGAGCAGCAGGCAGCGGCAGCACCAGCAACAGCACCATCAGCACCAGCACTAGCACCAGCAGCACCCAACCAGCACAGGCAGCAGCAGCACCAGCAGCACCAGCACCAGCAGCAGTGGCTGAATTGGCGAGAGCTGCCAGCGGAAGCTGTCAGCTTCGGGGGTTTGGGCTGTTGCCCGCTGTCAAAATCGAAACAAAGGAGCCAGTTACTTGTGGTTTGTCTATAGCTTGTGTTATAAGACTGAGCAGTGAGCTTGGGTTTCCACTCTCCTCCGCCCTGCCTTGGTGTTTCACTTTCCAGCCGGATCCCCGCATGCCAAACCCGGCGAGGCCTTCTTGCCCGGAGAATTGGTGCTGCCGTCCGGAGAGGCGGGCGGAGTGGCCGAGTGGCACCGCCCAGTTGAAGGGATGTGGCAGTGGTTGTCAAAACCGTTTTGGGATCCCGTTTTGGTTGGTAGGTGAATTCACCACCCATTTTCCTATTTTATTGGGGACTGGGATGTTCACTGGGGGTAGCCGGGGTTTTGACCCATGGCCACGTCTCTGAAGCCAACCTTTTTTGTGGCTCCCGGGTTTGATGCACGCGGGAATGCGAGCGAGAGTGGGTTTAGGATGGTCAGTCATCTTAAGGCCTGTGTCTCACTTGTGACACCCCAACGGCCATGCGTACAGAAACCACCATTTTTTTCTCATCACCCAGTCTCGTTGAGACCATTTCAAGGAAACGTGGTCGCCATTGTCTTCGGCCGCCACGGATGTATCGGACCTGTATCCTTGGTTTTTGTTGTATTGCTATTGCTTGATTTTTGTAGCACTTCCCGATCAAGGAGCCAGAGCCACGTAAGACGTCCAACAACCAGCATTTGTTGTCATCCCTAGCTTGCGCTGTAATTTCACACACAATGAAATGCTACAGTGCCATAACAATCAAGGCCACCCAGGGCCTGGACGTGTGGCAAAGGTAGGAGAGAAGGAGGAGAAAGAAAGCAGCATTCCGAGTCCACGTGCTGCTTTTGAGATGTTGTGGATGAACTTGCAAAACAGAGTCTGGAATGCTGTGTTCCACGAAGGTGTTGTTACGAAACTTGTGGACTGCCCGATTTTCGGGCTACCGGCTTTTGACCCGCTGGCAGGACTATGTTTAATATGGGGCTACGTTTTTAGGATAGACCATACTTGGGGTTGGCTTGGTTCAAGGTTGGGGTAGGATGGCCAAAGGGCTGCGGCTGGTTGATTGGGGATTGTGAGACAAGATCCACGCCTCTTGCGAATGAAATATGGTTTGACTTCTAGTGGTGACCTAGTGGAATGCTTATGTGCTTTGCAATAATTTTCCTGCGGAGTGAGTGGGGTGGAGCACCAATTGTGTATGATTGATCATTGGCGAGGTCTGGCAAGAGATGGGAAGGCAGCCAAAATGAATGCTGGGGCGCCACCCTTGCCTTTCCCTTTGCTACTGGGCCCTTGCTCAACATCATCACGGGGGCAGCGCACTTGCCGATTCAGAGATCATAAATTCATGAATGGAATGCCAGTGTTATCATCCTTGAAGATGGATCATTCTCAAATGAGGGTCGGATCAGAGGACATGAGTTCGTCAAAGCTTGTCAAGATTCAGGCGAGTGGCAGGTGTCGCCTGCCGCGCAGTGCAATGTCAATGGCAACCATCAGCTTTCAGGTCTGCCACATTGCAATGAGTCAATGAGGGGCAGCATGACGCTGCATGACTCATGCATAACTTCAGTATTATATGAGGTACTCAACATTCGGGGTTTAACGAAGCATCCCCGGAATTACAGGGGCTCCCTGATTGCCTCAGTGTCAGCTGGCGACTCGCCTAGACTTCGGGGGGCGACATCATCTTCGTCTACGAGGGCCTTTGCGAGGCATCGGGGGCTCGGGGACCGGAGCTCATCTTTGCTGCAGTTTGCCAAGGGATGTTAGGACAGAGTAACTTTTTCCCAACGAATTTGGGTTTTCCGTATTAAACCACTAAAATATATTCACTTTTAGCAGGGGAGCAGCAAGCAACCGGGATATGGCTGTGGTTGGCATAACCTATGGCGAGCCATTTTGGGTGGATTGGGTGAATGCACCACCCATTTTAGGCTTCCTATTTTAGTGGTTGGATTGAATCGGATGTTCACTGGTATTTGCTTTTGACCCACGGCCATATGGAGCCGAGCTATTGGGAGCAAAGGGCTCGGCATGGATTGAAGCAACGCCTGAGCCCTGAATGCTGGGACGTGAAGGTTGCCCGTCTTGAGGCTGCCGTTTTGCTAGTGCTATCCTTCCCGCACGCATTGGTTTCCAAAGGCTGGACCGTGTCTCAAAGCTAGAAAGGACGCTGGCTGCACATGTGCCCGATCAGAGCTTTGTGGCTGGACAAAGCCAGTTTGACTGCCCCCAATAGCCGGCTGCGCTGAATGTTCGTCGCAAAGGTTGTACCAGGTGTTCGGGCGGCTTACTACTGCAAGAAGACATTGAAGCATGGTCATGGCGAATTGAGCTTTCGGCCAGGCCTGTAATCAGTGGCAATGGAAGCTCCCTCTTCTAAATATTCATATTGAGTTGGCCTGTGTGATCCTGATCAGCATGGATTCCTGCCGGCCCACCTCTAGCCTATAGATTTCCGAGTCGAGTGTACTTGTCAATTCTCACCGCGCAGCAGTGGGAAAGGCGGATGATGAGTTGCTTGCAGCATTCAGTGATCAGTACGCAAACTACCATCTCCAGAAAATCACTGGAATGAGTGGTGTTTCAACAACGCGTGGGGTTGACCTTTGCACACCTCAGGCTTGGTGTTGCCTTGGATTTTGATTTGCGCCGTAGTTGCTCCATGGGATTTGCTGTTCATCCTGCATCATGATTCTGGTCTCGCGGCGTGTCCACAAAAACTCACAAGGTATGCACTTTGGTACAATCTGTAGCCCCAATGCAGCCGAATGGATTTCCATCCCTTCCCGCGAGGCCTTCGTGGATTCCAGTGGCCATCCCTTGCCGGGAGCTCAAGCGCAGCCGAAGTAGCCCCCAGATGGCCGTCTTTGGGCTCCCTGTCAAACTTCCCAAAGCGCGGGATCTACAGCTTTACTTTCGCCGGGGAGCTTAGTGCCACTGGATCAAGGACAAAGCCTGTGACGCGGCGGCGGCGAAAGAAGAAGGAGGCCGAGTTTGGGGCCAGGGTCCGCAATGTTTCAGATTGAGTCGTCTGTAAATGAAGTTGAAGGGAACCTTCCGGCAAGGCGTTCTCAATCAAGGTAATGCTAAATCTACGCCATCAATAGTCAAACGGATTCTTTTTAGTCAACATGAAATGCCAGGTTACCACAGTCTGGGAATGCTTCCTTAATGATCCTTGATTGATACTGCCGACTCATTTGGGTATGTGTGATCATGCGCAAAGGATGAACTCCAGCTTTTGGATTAGCATCATAATGGTGTGAGGCTCCCAGTTCCAGCACCTGTAACTGTGGCCATCCTTCATATCTTGCGAAGTTTGATATGGTGCACATGCCACACATTCCATTCATGCATACCAGCAATGATGCTTCCCATCCTCTCCTATCCCTGGCTGAGATGGCTTATGGCAGACTCAGCAACTGAAGGTGGATTTAGCTGGGAGGCTCAGGAGCTGTGTGGATTTCCAGGCTTGGTCCAGGGCTTAGGCTTGACTACGGGCTGCCTCCCAACAGCTTGCGCTTGCGCAGCTGCCCCGGCTCCCTGGGTCCGCAAGGTCCGCACGGCCAGCTCCCCTCGCACGCGGCAGCCATGGCTCGCAAGGTCGCCCTGGCCGTGGGGGCCGTCGTCCTGGCGCTGCGGTGCTCCACCGCCTTCCTCCCATCGAAGCCAATGCTGCGACCGCCGGCCGGCGTGGCCGGCGTGGCCGGCCTGGCCGGCCTGGCGGCCGGCGCCGCGCCGGCCATGGCGGAGGAGGCGGAGGGCGGCTTGCTGAACTTTGGGAAGGTGGAGCTGGGCGGGGGATTTGCCCTGAACCTGGACATCCCGGAGACCAACCTCATCAACATCTCCATCCTCATCGCTGGGCTCCTCTACTTCCTCTCTCCAGTGCTGGGCGAGTCCATGGCCTCCCGCGAGAAGGAGATCCACTCGGACATCGAGGACGCCATCGCCAAGTACAACGAGGCCACTTCCCGCTTGGCTGAGGCGGAGAAGAACAAGGCGCAGGCCGATCAGGTGGTCAAGGAGATCAATGACAGCATCGCCAAGGACATCTCCGAGTTTCAGGACAGATGTATCCATTGATGCCTGTACATATACACACTCATATGCATAGTTACACACGCATATGCAGTTAAACATTACACTTATAACATGTATGTATATGTGCATTACAATCTACACATGCAGTACTGCAGTACATTGCATTGCAATTGACGGCATTACATCACACTACATTGCGCTACACTGCACCACATTACATTGCAGCACATGACATGACACTACGCTGCACTGCACTACAGTGCAATAACGGTACATCCCATTGCACTGCACTACATTACATTACCTTACATTGCAAACCAGTGCACACCACTACATACCATTACACACCAATACGTACACACATGCACGCACGCACATACATACACACACACACACATGCACATACGCTCACATACACACATACACAAATCGCACACACACACACATTACGCATATACATATACACGCATACATAAACACATGCATACATGCATACATTTATACATTTATACATTTATACATACATACATACATTTATACATTTACACATGCATACATACATACATACATACATACATACATACATACATACATACATACATACATACATACATATACATTTACACATGCATACATACATACATACATACATGCATACATACATACATACATACATACATACATACATACATACATACATACATACATACACATACACACATACATACATACATACATTCATACATTCGTACATACATACATACATACATACATACATACATACATACATACATACATACATACATACATACATACATACATACATACATACATACGTACGTACGTACGTACGTACGTACGTACATACATACATACACACATGCGTGCATGCATGCATGCAAACAAACATACATACATCCATACATACATACACGCATACATACACACCCGCATGCATGCATGCATACATGCACACACATACATAGATACAACGTATCCTACAACGTATACATACAACGTATACATACAACGTATACATACAACGTATACATACAACGTATACATACAACGTATACATACAACGTACACATACAACGTTTACATACAACGTATACATACAAGGTATATACACGCTCACACATGCACATACACCAGACCATACCATACAATACCACACCGTTTCAGACCATCCAATACATACGTGTATTTTTCCTTACAGCAATCATACGGCTGTGGGTCAAAACCAATGGGATCCGATTTTGGGGTAGGAGAATTCACCACTCATTTCAGAACCTATTTTAGTGGTTGGATTGGGATGTTCCCTGGGGGTACGATTTGGATTTTGACCCATGGACATACCATACAATATCACACCATACAATCCCACACCATACCACATCGTTTCAGACCATGCCATACATACGCGTACTTTTTTTACATACAACGGGATCCGATTTTGGGGTAGGAGAATTCACCACCCATTTCAGAACCGATTTTAGTGGTTGGATTGGGATGTTCACCGGGGGTACGGGATTTTGGTTTTGGCCAATGGCCATACCATACAATACCACGCCATACAATACCACACCATACCATATCGTTTCAGACCATGCCATACATACGCGTTTTTTTTTTTTTTTTTAACATACAGCAATGCTTCCTTGTATACGGCTGTGGGTCAAAACCAATGGGATCCGATTTTGGGGTAGGAGAATTCACCACCCATTTCAGAACCGATTTTAGTGGTTGGATTGGGATGTTTCCCGGGGGGTACGATTTGGATTTTGTCCCATGGCCATACCAACAATACCACGCCATACAATACCACACCATACCATATCGTTTCAGACCATGCCATACATACGCGTTGTTTTTTACATACAACGGGATCCGATTTTGGGGTAGGAGAATTCACCACCCATTTCAGAACCGATTTTAGTGGTTGGATTGGGATGTTCACCGGGGGTACGAGTTGGATTTTGACCCATGGCCATACCATACAATACCACACCATACAATACCACACCATACAATACCATATCGTTTCAGACCATGCCATACATACGTGTACTTTTTTCTTTTTACATTCAGCAATGTTTCTTTCCATACCACCCCTAGAACCGATTTTTGTGGTTGGATTGAATCCTATGTTCACCGGGGGCTAACCGGATTTTGGATTTTGGTTTTGAGCCATGGCCATAGCGGGAGGCCAACTTGCAGTCGGCGGCGAAGAAGACCAAGGCGCTGCAGGACGCGGCCAACGATAAGAGCCTAACGGAGCTGGAGCAGAGGACCCAGGCGGGGTGGCGGGAAGCGGCGATCGAGAGGGGTCGACGTGGAAGCTTTGATGTTTTTTTTTTGGTCGAGTCTAGTCCTCAAGAAACTCCTCATTGGTTGGTTTTGGGTGGTTCGGGCATTTGAAATGATTTGAAGCCCTGGCTCTTGATGGTAAAGGGAATCCCAGTCCGTTGCAGCAAACCAGACTCCACCAGCTGGAAGGAAGCTGAAGTCCTGAGCTCGTTGTTTCAAGTTCATAAGATTATGGGGGCTGGGGGGGGAGGGAGGAAGCCCAAATAAGCCCTTACTAAGCCCTTAATAAGGCCTTGTTTGGGCTTACTTGGGCTCCCTCCCCCCCCTCCTCAGGTCCTTCCCCCCCACCTCCCTTCCCTCCCCCCAGCCCTCCCTCCCCCCTCCCCTCCCTCCCCCCTCTCCTCAATCCTCCCTCCCCCCTCTCGGCCCATGAGAAGCTGTTGGCAAGGAGAGGCTGGAGGCCTACATCGACTCTCAGGCGGTGGAGCGGGGCTTGAAGGAGCTCAAGGGCCTGACCGCCGATAAGAAGCAGAAGTTTCAGAGCCGGGATTGGAGCGTCTTTTTTTGTGTATATATATATATATATACATATATATATATATATATATGTTTGGATATATGTTTGGTTTGATTATATATATATATTATATATATATATATATATGTATATGTGTGTTTGATGTTGTTTTTGGGTGATACCAGTGGATGTTTGATGCGTTTGTTTTGGGTCACTGCTTGTTGCCCTTGTCCGGTAATTTGTTTCTTAACTATCGGCTTGCCAAAATGCAATTCTTCACCCACATTTTAGGTTCCAACCAGACTCCACAAGCCAGCTGAAACATATTTTTTGACGGGTCTTAAGTTCGGTCGAGGTTTATGGATGCGGCGATCGCCTCCCTTTAAGAAAGAGAAAGCACACACACCGTCGATTCTCCATGGACAAAGTTGGAGCTCTCGCACGTGACACGTGGCACGTTTGCGGAAGACGTGCTGCTGGCACCAGGGCGAGAAAAGCAACCGTGGCATTCCTGGCCCTTGCGGAAAAAGATGCGGCAGGTTGCACGGACACAGAGTTCACTTTCTGCGGATCGGGGATTTTGCTCAGGGTGTGTGAGAGCATCTTGATCTTTTCTTTCTTCTGCCTGATGGGAAGAGTTTCACAGACCGGCACCTATTGAGTCAGCATTGTCTCCAGTGTTTTGTCCCCCAGGCAAACAGCCCTTTGCCAACTTCATGGAAGCGGCGCATTTCGCACCGAGCACGCATGATGAAACTTTCCGGGCGCCACTGCCGGCTGAGCTGTGACCCAGCCCCTGCCAGCCCTCGCCTGGCGCAAGGTGCGGTCGTCCTTTCTGGGCGGCACCTTCGAAGTGCTGGAGGTGAGCTGAAGCCGCGGTTGGGCCGCTCACGTCAAGGGGCTGACCTCTCCCAAAAGCGCCACGCCCTTTGGGGAAGCCCGCACAAAGACTCAAAAAGCAGCAAATGAGCCCTGAAAAAAGGGGCAACAGAACGGGTTATTTGAGCACTGCCCAGTTTTGGAATCCAGGGGTTTGCCTCACCCAAGATTTGCCATGCGAGAGACAAAGCACCACACGCGGTGAGTCATGCGGAGGCGTGCTGCTCAGATTGTGCACCATCAAAGATGTCAGCTTTGGCCGTACGTTCGGCTTCTGGCAAAGAGTCTTTGGCAGCTTGTGTCGTGAAATTGACATCACATCTTCCGCCAAAAGTATCCCAAAGCAGTCCTGGCCACTTCTAGTGCCAAAAACCAGCCGAAGTTCCACCAAAGCAGTCCTGGCCGCTCCGAGCGCCAAAAAACGCACGAAGCTCCGGGGCGCGAGGCCTATGGGCCCGGCTCCATGTTGGGCTTCGAGCAGCTCCTTGGGGAGGCAATGGACGCGCTCACTCGGGGCAACTCCCAAACTGGACACGGGAACTGGAAGGGTGGTCCCCCAAAGTGCCCGATCTGCGTGGTTCGTCTTTGAGGCTTGGTACCATCTTAGGGCACATCTTTGGGTTGGGTGCTGCCCCCGAAAAAAAGCGCTAAGGGACACAAAGACAAGTAGGACATATCTTGCAAAAGGTCGTCACAGGAGCCTCTGACTTGGAACCAAGTTTCCGCTGTCTGATGTCCTTCAAGTGATAACTTGCATGATGTACGACATGAAGTTCAATGCCGCATATCGTGAAACCATAATGTGGAATACTTTTGGAGCAGAGTTGTTGTTCCAGAATACCATGCCAGCCTTTTTGACACCCACTAGGGATTCAACATGCGCACCGCTCAGCGGGCTGCAGTTGAACCCTCTCAATGCATGTGTATTTTTGTGACCATTTGACAGACTGTCGACTCAGGCGGTGCTTTGCAGCTATTTGTCAGGGTCTTCACCAGTCCCGAAATGCGACTTGTGGCGCGTCAGCCCTCACCTTCACAATGTGTCGCAAGCAGGATCCATGAAGCATTGTCAGGAACAGCGCACTTCACGAGAGAGACAGTCCGCAGAAGTCTGGATCCAGCAACACCGTAAATAGCGGGCAGGCCAGAAACATGAGCATGGCATCAGTGCGGTACTAGATTGGTTTGTTGAACTTAGGGCCAACTTCAACTTATGTTAAGTCGGTTATACGTTACTTTACTTATAACCTATGTCATAGGGTAAAGTTGACCCTAACTTGATCCAGTCAATGGAAGATGCACTCGGTGACTCGCCTGCGTAGCGAGGAGGCGCTGCAATCCTTCGGATGTCCCAGCGACTGCGCGGCCAATGCCTCAGACGACTCGCGGTGCTGCTGAAGCGGCCAAATCTGTCAGTCCCCAGCTAACGGGACCCAATCCAACCAAAATCGGAAGCCTAAAATGGGTGGTGAATTCACCTACCCCAGAATGGGATCCCATTGGTTTTGACCCACAACCACCTGGCATGGGTGGACTCTCTTCTGGCCGTTTGTCTGTTTGTATGTACAGGTAATGGTTCCTGTCTCTCCCCCTCCCCCCCAAAATTTGTTTAACAAGAAACACGCTAGCCTGCGGCATGCATGCGTATATTTATATAGACGAGCACATGGGGACACATATACCAAAAGTTATTTGCCCGCCGCTTGCTATGGCAACGAACGCTTACATTTTGCACACAAAGTCAGTGTTGGATGGATATGAAGCAGGCTACCATTTGGTGCCGTTCGTTTGCAGAGGTTTTGACTTTTTGACTGCGATACGCTTTGGGAAGGAGGGACGAGGCGTTTTGGTTTAAGTAAAACTTTTATCCCACAAGTAGATACAATTGTTCAAAATAACGTTCAAAAGCAATCATATGGTAAAACTCATGAAACTACTGGCCATTTTAGGAGTTTGTTTTGTTTTTTTTGTGTTTCGTTCTTTTTTTGGGACGTGCTTTTCGCTTTTGGCCTCTTGGCTTCTTGGCTTTCGGCTTCAGAAGCCGGACACCGTTTCGAAGGCCTTGGCATCGAAGAGACAAGACTCGAGAGGTGCGCGCCTCCCCAGCGGCGGCGCCCAGCGTCTACGCCCTGCGAGTGTCGTCCCTGGTGGATGCGCAGAGGCGCCCCGGCGCCGGTTCGGAAAACGTGCGGGTCGGGCGTCGGGCGTGTGGATCACGGGGATGGATCGGCATCAGGGTTCCCTTTTTGGACTACCCCAAAGTGGACTTACACCCAGGGGTTCTTGATTTCCCCAAAGGGAAAGGTCTGGGTTTAAGTCCACCTTGGGGGTAGTCCAAAAAGGGAACCCTGATGAGCGTCCTCACTGAAGGGGAGATGATCCATGCGGTGGATAGCCTAAGTCCCCCAGTAGAAGAAAAAAGTTGGCGTCCTTTTTTTTAAATTTACGTCAACCCTTCATAGATGAATATGAGGAAGAATTACTTGAATTGACATGCCAGTGTGAACACACTTTCGCACGACCACCTGAAAAAACCAATTCTGATCACTTTTTCAGAGAGCCAATCTAACTAGTCAATGCTACGGATTGAGAATCACCCATCCAGAGCGCATACTTTTGGCACCGGCTGGGTCCGGAAGCTTTCACACCTCGGCACTGCTTGGTTCGCTGGACCGGGCGGGCGGGTTTTTACGGACTTGGCGAGGGGGCTCGGGTCAACCTGGGTTTGCTTTGGGCTTGGGGTTGGTTTGGGGTTGGTTTGAGAGTTCTTGGCCGGGGATTGGGTGCTTCTCAAGCCCTCTCCGTGGCCACCCAAACAAGGCACACCCACTCCAAGATTCAGCCCAAATACACTGGAATGTGTCACGTAGCTGCGTGTTGGGAAGGTTGAGGTGTGCAAATTGCCAGCAGCTGACACTGCGGAATAGCGGCTGGGCATCTTTTCAGTGCTCAATTGAGCAGCGTTTTTTTCTCAGATGATGGATTTTAGCTTCGTGGGGAACTCCCAAAAGCTCCGCGAAGGCACTTGTGCGATACATTGTGTACCGCGAAGCCCCGCGAAGCCACTTCGCGTAGCCCGGTAACATTGACACAGGCGAAGCCACTTCGCGAAGCCACTTCGTGGTTTGAGTGTATTGCGTCCTTTCGTGGCAAGTGTGTTGTGCGCTTTCATGGCAGTAGTATTCCAAAGGTTGATGTTGAGAGTCAGCAGGCTACGACAAGACTACAGGAAGATTACGGGAAGACGACCGGAAGAGCACTGTGCGTTTCAGGCCCGTTTTTGCTAGAAACGATGGAACGTTTTCGCGAAGCCCCCGCGAAGCCTCCGCGAAGCCTCCGCGAAGCCTCCGCGAAGCCACCGCGGTCCAACTTCCATGCTCCGCCTCTTTCATGAGGCCCAGCCATGTCCCCTAGTCCTGAAGCTCAATGCCTCTCTTGCCGCCTTTCATCGCCCCCTTTCGCATGGACTCAACTTGATTCAACAACATGGGGGCGCAAACGTCAGAGATGTTTGTGGAACAAACATCCGCGAAGCCCGGCGAAGCCACTCCGCGAAGCCACAGTCTTGCCGCGAAGCCTCGCGAAGCCAACCCTTCCACAAATTCTGGCCCCGCGAAGCCGCCCGCGTAGCCTCCCCAGCAGTGTATAAGCGCTGAACCTCTAAAAAAAACAATGCTCAATTGTTTCGCACGTGACGCGTGCCTTGCCGCTAGTTTGTATCTATTGCTGTTTCAGCCTATTCTTTTCCAGGCTTTGCTTATTCAATTTTACATTTAAAGGCGGCCCTTTTCTGGAATGGCTGCTTTTGCCTGGATTCGTAGACAGCTGCTCGGCCTCTGATGGCTTTCCCAAACAACCGATAGTGCTGCATGAGCACTTCTATTTTGTTTAGGCATGCGATTCGTTGAGGATTTGGACATGCAGCGGTCGATTCCGCTTTCTAGCAGAAACACGTTTTGGCCCGTAAGCCAATCCTAAACAAACCCTGAGCCCAACCTAAACAAAGTCTTAAAACAATGCAAAACCCACCCATGCCCCTAGGACCACGTCAAGCCAAACTTGAAATCAACCCTAAGCCAATCCTTGGTTGACCCTACACCTCTCTGAAGCCCGCCTCAAAGCAACCCTAAGCCAAGCTAGACACATTCCGAACCATCCGCCCGCAAGCAAGAATCTGAGAGAGACAGAGAGGTGGACATCGCATGCCTGTTTGCGCGCAATTTGGGGCTTACAGACTGGTTCAGTTGCGAGGGCGCAGCCCGTGCTGGCCGGCATGCTGACAGAGCTGATGACGACCTGCATCGTCTCTGAGGGCCGGCGGCGGGTGAAGGAGACGATGCCTTTCTTTCGTATGGGGAGACCGCGCTCATTGCAGCGGGGATGCGTCTTGTTTGTACTGCGAGCTTATTCCTTGCTCCTTTTCGGAAATCTGAATGATCGTCGTCTTGCAGGGGTGCCTAATATGTTGTTTGAGTTCTGTACTTGGGACGATTGTACATTCCTGAGAGTAGGCCGCGCGAGGATTTTCAAGGGCATCATTTAGCTACAGCTAGCGCCTCAACTGTGCCAGCTTGAGCATGTGATTGCTACAGTCCGCCGGAGAGAGGAAATCGGAACATTCTTGACCTAGCAATCCCTGATTGCAGAAGAGGAGATGGAGGTTAGAGTCGTCAGATTGCTCTCCCTGAAAACAACCAAAGGGTTGTGTTCATGGAGATCTGTTTTGGCTCGCTGCTGGGTGGCACTTGCACACCATGTCTGAAGGGGTGGCTATAGGCCTGCCTAGGGAGGCTTGACTTGTGCAGCTTGCTTCTGGCAATGGATTGTTGCGGGCATCCTGTTCTGTTGGCATTTCGCAATCCAGCTACCCTGAACCCAAACCCTCAGCCCTAAATGATTTGGCATTTGGATTTTTCCGGCGCCCTTGCGCCGGGTGCCTTTTCCCCAACTCTGGCGCGACGCGTTTTCGCGTGGCCCGCGCCTTTTTCAGGAGCGGGCCACCAGCGAGTACTACCAAAAGTTGGAGGCCGGGGACTGCAAGCCTTTTTCAAGGCACAGCACAGCCCGAGTGTTTTTGGCGCGGTTGCCTGATTCGGGGTCTGGGGCCTAGTTCCAAATTCTGTTGAACCCAAAAGAGGGCAGCTGATGCAATGAAGGGACAACAGCATACATCTAGGATTCAGGTTGATGCGAGGAAGTAGGCCGGGAAGATGCGCAGACTACAATTTTGCTCGGCCAGCTGCTGGATGTTTGAGATTTAGACGTCTTAGTACATCATTGATCAGCTCTTGACTGCTACTGGGTTGGATCTTTAGACTTTAACTTTTTGGGAAATCAAGGGGTTTTCCACTAAACCCCCAACAAGTGAAACTTTCTGCAGGGGGGTCAACAGCAAGCAAGAGCTGGCATCTTTGGCTGGACAGCCGGGATGCATTATCCTTCTGGTTTGTCAGCCAGTTGATGTTTTGCAACAAAACAGGTGGCTGTTTGTGGGAGTGGCGTCGACCGAGCGATTGCCTGACTTGTTAGCAAGCGAAGCAGAAGGGTTTGCCTTTGCAGACTGTGTCAAGGCTTTCCGGCCAAAGCTATCGGAGCTGATTTGACTACGGGATTCATCTACTGAATGAGTACGGTCATTCCTGAGGTTGATTCGGTTTGGTTTGACCAGCCGGCGAAGAAGCAAAGACGCTTCCACGCTGAGTGCGTGTGGCTTTTCTGGAGGCCTACCGCCTCGCGAAGCAGAACTTCCAGGCGCTTGCGGTGATCGCGTCGCTCAAGGGGGGTTTGAGCTGATACGAGTTGACGAGTCAGGACATAGCTTATAGCGATTGTCAAGCACGGCTCGTGGAATTCCTGCTGGACTCGTTTCGTGGCACTTTCCCTACTTTCACCCGGGCAACCAGGTTGACAACCTCCCCCCATATGGATCATATGCATGTGCCAAACCACGGTAATTACTATCACTGAAGGGCTATTTTCAATGAAAACGTCTTCCAACATCATCCTGGCAACATCCGTGAAGTGTGCCAGAAATCCAATATTTTGCCGGGACACCAATTCACTGTACCCTCAAAAGACAGCCAATGAACAGATCACGAAAGCTAGCTTTAGCTAGCTGAAGTTTCTCCTTGCGTAAGCAAGGTAAGGGGCTCAAATGCCGAAAGATTGATTTTTTCAATTATTTGAGCCGAAAAGATTGAAAAACATCAATCATTTAGACCCCCCCCCCCTCCCCCCCCCCCGGTCTCAGGCTCGATTCCTCCCTGGTCCATCCCCCCCCCCCCCTCTCGTTGCTTTCATTTTTCAAGGTTTGCCACGCCACCATGTGCGTTTGCGTGTCGCATCCTACGAATCTTGCCGGGCCTCTCGTTGTACACAAGCTACCTATGAATCCACTCTGTCACCGACCCATCTCATGCAACAACTGCTAGCTTTCGTTCACCCGCTCCTCAAGTTTGCGACCAAAGCTGAGCCAGAGGCCGTTGTGCAGACCAGAGCCCAAGACATAAAGATATCTGAAATGCGCCTCGGTGGGGTTGACAAGAAACTGAATTACTCTCCCTCCCACTAACATGGCAACTGACAGGGGGTCACTTCAAAAGGAATTTAATCTTCCAGGTACCTCCTTTACAGGTGCCATGCTAGTTGGAAGGGTAAGGGTTGTTTGCCCAGCAACTGTTCATGGATCATGGATTTTCGTGGGTGTGGTGTCAGGCGCCGGTCGCTTCTGAGGCGTCTCCCATCGCCTTGCGCTTCGCAGCCTTCGGGAACTCCGAGGTGCGGAGAAATGCGCTCCGCTTGAGCGGCGTGGTCTAGAAGTCTGCAGCTGGTGAAGGTCAGTGGGGCCTGAAGATGACAAACCTGAAGCTTGCCATTGAGTGAGGATTCAAACTTTTGGGATGTAGAGCTCGAGGTCCCAGGTTGGCTGGCTGGGATGCCCTCGATGGGCCAACGTGGTTTGGAGGGCTTCGTGCCATTGATCGGATTAGCATTCTCACCAAGGACGAGGTTGGGCAATGACCAGCAGACTGGCCACCGCCAATTTCATGTTCGCTGCACAGATTTCATGAGAACATTTTGGCCTCGTTGTGTATTGAACAGGCGCCCTGCGCCCTGAATAGTGGCATGCTTCTATTTTTCAGTTTGACACGCCCAACAAGTAGCTATCCATTAGGACCCCACGTGCGTGGGTGTGTCACGGTGAGTCTTAAACTAAGACCCGGAAATGGTGGTTTCTATTGGGGTTCCTTCTAAGATAAGCCCAAAAAGGGCCCAAGTACCCTCAAGAAAGACAGACTCGTGAGTGTCAAAAGACACACCCCTATAAACTGTCCATCCCCTTTGCGAGGCACAGAACTGCAACCTTTTGAGCAAGTAGCGGAAATGCCAATTTGAAGGGGGGGGGGTGGTGTTGATTCTGATTGAATTCGAGGGCTGCTCATGCAAGGCTGCGTGGTCTCGTTGGTCGCGGAGCGTTCCTTGAGGTAAGGAAGAACACAGGAACCAGCCCCCCACCCCCTGCACCCCTTTTTCTTTTGGGACCGATGTGCCCGCAGATAAATGGGCATGGGCCGGCAATTCGTCATGTGCCTTCTCGTTTACGTCGCAATCACGCGAGGGTTTGCCGGTTGCATCAAAGGGCCATGCCTTTGTTTGGTGCTATCTGGTGCTCTGCCGCCCGGACAAACCTACACAATGCGGCCCCCGTAGCGAGTCAGCGTGAGCTTTTGGTGGAACAATGGAACCCGACTGCCGAGCCCGAGACGGACAAGAATCGGAGGGCTCCTTGAAGCTCTTCCAACTACCTCCAGTTGGGTTAAACGGTAGTTGAGAGAATGCCGTTCGTGAGGACATGTTCGATGGTCCAGATTCGATGGTTCGAATGCCATTCTCGTTCATGAGATTCGAATGGCGTTTGAGTTCGTGAGGACATGTGCTAGGGAGCTGCTTGCAGGCTGAGACGATCCGATCACGACTGCCCAGCCGAAACAGCAGAGGCCAGCTTCGGGAGCAACGCACCGGACTGAAGGGCAGGAATTTGTACCAGACTTGGTAGAAGCTAGCGATGGGATCCAGATAGCAGAAACAAATGCAGAAGCACCATCTCCTTCATCTATTTGGGCTCCATCGACTACGAAATACATGTCTGACAGTAGTGCTGACTTGAATCAGAATCATGCATTCACACTTTGATGGGGATGCATTTCCTATAAGAACACACATCTTTCTGATACTTGTTGTAGTTTATGCTTGTTTGATCACTTTGGTGGCATGGAACAACCAATTGATTTTCACCGGACCCTCCATCCGAAGGGCCCTGGACATTGCGTAAGAGGGTTTCTGCTCGCAAAATAATCTTGTTGCTTCCATCATCCTCAGTCAGGGTGGCAATGTATGCTGGACCGCATTCCCAGTGTAAAGGAGAGGAAGCAAGTACGGATCATTTGCAAAACGGGGAGTGCCACAGACGCACCGGCACTTGGCTCTTTCAGCGTCATTCTTTTGAACGGCTGATGCTACCAACACACATAGCTGTCCTGGGTAGTTACTCTTACTAACAGGAAAAGCAATTTCTTGGAAGTCTGTTAATTTAATTAGGCTTCTAGCAACAGAAGTGTGACGCGCTCAAGTACGTATGCAAGCGTGTCTTGATGTCAATTCCGACGGCATCAGACGCAACATTGGACGCGCAACAAAATACAATTGATCATTTAGCTTGAATCCACAATTGTTGTTGTGGTTTGCGTTTGCGAATTGAGTGCCAGATTGATCTCGTCTTTCCAGGGTTTTCCCAGCAGATGCAGTCACCTGCAGCAAGCTCGAACATCAACTATATTTGGTCATGCTGGCAGAAACATACTGTGTTGCTCCAGATGAGACTTCTGACATAAGATAATTATCAATGATGGTGAAGTACACCCTGCTGCACCATACTAGTTGAAGATGCATAACTGAGTGAAGTAGGCTGTTTTCCATCAACGCAAGGATGCTGCCTTGCTTTAGTGCTCTAACCCTCCATGATCTTGTGGTATCTGTTTTTCACACACTAAGCCTTGATGACATTTTTTTCCTGGTGCATGCTCGGCTGTTCCTCTTTGCACGCTACCCCTTCCACATGCTTTGTCTCGAAGTCATCTTTAAGCACAAAACGGCCACACCCAGTGGATCTACAACTGACAGCCTCCAAAAGGTGGAGTGTTTTATCGTTCGCCAAGGTTCCGTGGCGCTCAAACGGTGTCGTTTAGGAAGTCCAGAACCTTGCAGAAAGGGCGCTGGGTGTCGACTGGGGCAGGCATGCTGACGTAGCGTCTATGGCCGAGAGTGAAGAATAGCAAACTTAGGATACAAACGAACGTCGTGATCATGACTTCTCGCACTCCTTGTTGCCCTTGTTGCCGCTTGCTTCTTCTTTCCTTGCCTTAACTCCCATCATGTGAAATGGATCGAGCCTGATCCTCTCTTAATTTGTTGTCTCCCGTGTCTAGGTCTTATGGCAAGAGAAATGTAGAATGTGAATGGGTGTGTGTGTGTGTGTCTCTATGTCTGTGTCTGTGTCTGTGTCTGCGTTTGCGTCTGTGTCTGTGTCTTTGCGTGTGCGTGTGCGTGTGCGTGTGTTCAAGTGTGCGCTCGCTGTGTTCTGCAAATGGTGGATTGGTGCACCCTTGGCCCATGTACACAGATGCTGTTTAGAGTCTAAAGTTTAAAGATCTTGCAATGAGATCTTGTTGAGGACCGTACCTCCGAAAGACTCAAGAGAGCTCCTACAGAACCTTCCATTTGCAGGCAATTTCAAGACCTTGTGCACGGCATTTGAGGAAGATTGCGCGGTGCCAAAAAACAACCGAAAAAACACGGCACGTGCCGCCTTCGCTAAGCCCACTGCCATTCTGTAGCTCTCTGCGGCTCTCGTTCTGGCCCTAGCCATGTGCAAACGCACATGCACTCACCCTCTACCTTGGAAACCAGCTCACGCGTTTCGGCGCCGACTCACTCACTCTTAAAAACACAACACAAACTTAAACACATTATATACCTCAAAGCCAGCCAAAAGCGGACTGGCCGAGGCGGGCAACGCGAAGCAAATTAGTTTTGACTCCTCAGGCGCCAAAAAAGCCGTGTTGCCTCGTTTTCCCCGCAACGCATGCTACCTTCCTTGCCGTTTCACACACAAAGTTTGGTTGCCCCACCTTATTCACTTCCACTCAAAACCCATTTTGCCCTTGGCCAGTCCCTTGGTTTCCTTTTGGACTCCTTGGTGTTTCCCCCAGCGCAAGCAAACAAAAATGCACGCCTCCCCGCGGGGGACGCTTCGGGGCTTTTTTCACGAGGCTCACCTCCTGAGACGCCGCAGCTCTCCGTGGTGGCCTTTGCGACGCCCCCCAATGAGGCAGGAGGGCGGAGGTTTGGCGCCGGTTGGGCCGGGGGTCAAAATTGAACCACTGGGAATTGGACCGCAGGTTGAGTTTTCGTCCATGCTTCCATCTAAGGTTCTATGTTGGGGTTACCCTATTTTTGAACCACAGCCATTTGGCAAGTCTTGGGCTTGGACCCCGGTTCAAGTTTTCATGACGTCTCGATGACTTGGGCCTCAGGGCTCAGAAGAACAGATCAACACACACACAAGCCGGACTCTGCCACGGACATGTTCAAGTTGAGCGAACGCATCCGACGAATTTGTTCCAACTGCCACTGCAATGATGGACACTGTGGCCTTGTTGCAATCACATCACCCGGTTTTTTTGCTTGCACGTAGCTGCGTTGCCCGGCATGGAGTGTTGCTCTTGCTCCGTCGCCCCCGATTTCGGCCCCTTGGTTTCATGTTTGACTCAGTGCTTTGGTGCTTTGGCCTGATGTGCTGGATACGAGGTGGACTGTGTGGAGACTAAGTTGGTCTGCTGACCTGCCGATTGTTTGGTCTTGTGAATGTTCAACTCATTCCCAGTCAAATTTGAAGCACAACATTTGACAGGCACACAGCATTGACCCTGTTGCACGGAGTCCCTGCAAAGGGAACAGGATGTTCGATACTGTACCAGGAACGTTAAGGGGGTTCCACAAGGGGGCTGTCTTTGGAGAGGCTCATGATGAGGCAAACGTGGCGGGAGATTGACATTCAGCTTCATGTTGTGCTGCGACCCAGTGTGTATGCATCACGCTTGTCGTGGACGAGTTTGAAGCGGGTGCTATAGCAGCAGCCCTCTTTGCATGTCCGGCCTTTGATTGCCCACAATCAAAACATTGCCTATGGATGGATGCAAGCATGATCAATTTTGAACCAACGACTGCATTCATAGCTACCATGCGCCCTGTGCAGGCGCCAGATGCACCAGGCTCGCATCACAAAGTCTGTGTGTGTTTGTGCGCTTGGGATTGGTGCCACTTGCCAACTGTTCTTTGTCTTGCTAGAAATCCGGAGAATTCTGGACAGATCACCTCTATCATTTGAACAGGTCTTGCATGGTTGCCGTACACCGAGTGAAATTTAACAGTTGGGCACATCCTGCTAGTACTTTGTTTCGGCTACTCCGCTTAAGGGCTCCGGTGTTGAGATTTGGTCCTTGCCCCAGGGACGCACATGTTCTTGTCTGGAAGGTATGTTGCATTTGTCGCAATCCAATCCAAACCTGACAGCCCCCACATCCGCTGAAAGCATGCACAAGCTATACTGTTCAAAGTGTAGTTCATGTCACGTTCATCATTGTTGCCCCTTCGTGTTCAGATAGCCTCCATCTTCACAGCGGCATTCGCATCGCATATGCGATCCAACAGTGCAAGCTGAAGCACTTTCAAACAAGGGGAGTCCCCTCCGCCAGATT